CCAACATTCCCTCGCTGAATTTATGAAATTACATGAACCTTAGGATGCGTTCATACTTTGCGACAACGTTTTGAGCGGCAACCTGTGTTTTGAGCGACTAAGAAAGTGTTGGTATTGATTATCGCTCAAAACGCGCCGGCGGACGCTCGCTGGATCGATTCTTTACTTTCCTACTAGCTCAAAATGCCTAAAACGTTGACAGACACTTAAAACGCGGCCGCAAAGTGTGAACGCATTCTTGAGCTTCCAGAAAAAGGAACAAGACAAGAGAAAACCTTAACTAGAAGTCAATATAATGCAAACAATAAACTAACAACTATTTATTTGCAAAAACTAGATTTACTGGACAAATCAAAGAATGCCACCAGAAGCGTTTTTTTCCTGCTCGGATTTTTTCTGTTTTTGTGTAGTGGGAACAATGAAATACTAGATGTAGATCAGCCTGCTCTTGAAATATGCCACCCTTTTGGCTCTCATGCCGGTTCTTAATGGTTTTGGGTAGGTACATGTCCTGTGCCACTTGCAAAGGTTAAGCCTGTGCGATAAAAGAATTTAATTCCCATCACATGAATTCCTTGCTCATCAGGTGATTCCGGATGGACGAAAGCCTTGGCTGCTCGAACAAAATGAAAAGTAAATACAACTGAATTGACAAAACAAGCGGAAATCCTCACGGATTACTATGGTGGTATGAAAATATACGGGAGTAAATTGAAATATATCTTTTCCTTTAGCCAAACGGTCATTCATAACAGGAACTTCATTTCGGACCCCTCCTAAGATCCTCTGAAGAGAGGAAGTGTTTTTAGAATGACTACAAAAAGGTTTTGGATTGCATTTGTTGTAAGACTTCGACAAAATTTATTAGTGTGAGCACTGTCGTGAAATTCAAGGGACTAAACGAATATGGACTCTCCAGAAATCCACAATAACACCTACCAAACATATAATCATCACAATGGGATCGATCTGGCCTGCCGAGATCCATCTTACCACTCGATAACATGGAATGGCGGCCACAAACCGACACCGCCGTTAATCTCCTGAGTTGATTGGATTTTCTAAGGTGAATTAATGTTGATTAAAAAACTCCCAATAGGGTATAATCACCAAGAACATAGTCTAGATTATCCATTCCCAATAACCAATTACAGTCTCACCTCGAATATGGCAGGTCATCGATTGATCGACAAGAACCAATGGGATGCACGACGGCCGCCCGTTGAATGTGTTCGTGACGAGACCGCGCCGCCTCAAAATCGATGAACCCTTTAAAAACAACTTTGATGCAGATGGAGCGCGAAAACATCACCGGCTGTAGTAGAACTCAAACAATCGCTCCTTCCGCGTTAATGTAGTAGGGAACCACTCCTAATCTGCGTTATAGTCGGGGAACCACTCGGTCGCATATCCCCTCCAAAGGAAGGCTTACGTTCAGAGCGCAGACAACTAGAGTTAGCGAGAGATTGTCCCGCAGAGACGACATGAGTCCCGCAGTGGTGACAGTCTTCATGAAGCTTGCCTTGATTAGAAGTACGGATAGAAAGACGCTGGCAAGTGGTTCCCCCACTACATCAGAGCCTTCCTTTCCCTGAAGGCTTAGGCCAAAAGGAGAGTTTAAGTATCTTCTTTACGAAACTACTGTACCTCGGCGATTCTGGTCGTCTGCGCCCTATGCCTTAGCGTTTTGGGGACAGGATGCAGAGGCGCGGGTCATTGATCTCCCTCCCCCTATATCCTCCTTCGCTCCTCCCTGCTAGCGTTTTACGCCCACTATATACGTCATGATTCCTGCAACTGATATGGCAAGTGAAGAGGCGTGGATTAGGCTGCGTTCAGACCAGCGCTTCAGTCGCGCGCTCGACGCCATCGATGCAGTTGAAAGCATGTGCATTGATCGCGTCGAACGCGTGGGCTAAGCGCTGCCGTCGCGAAGTCTGAACGCTGCCTTAGAGCGCAACCAAGGTTGCCCTTCCTGCCTCATGGGACTCAGGATGGCACCGTTAGTGGAGAAAGTTTTCCTGGCTCCGCTCTTACTCATTTCCCGTCACACGACCTTTCGTTCGAGGATCATGACTTTATCTTCCCAGTCGGCAGCGCCACAAAACTAACAAAGCTGCTACTCCTGATCGGACGCGTCCAATCCCTCCCAATCTCAAGATCAACGGCAAACTCTTGAGAATCGGATGATTGGTTATCGTAGGAGGGAGGAGAAAATTTTGGGGGCGGGGGCGGAGCAGGGAGGGATAGTCTTATTTAGCAGAAAATCTCCCCAACGTCAGGGCGTGGCCTGAACTCAGGTAAAGGCAGTTGGCACGATAAACCCATAAGGCTAGTAGGATTAATACGCCTGACAGGACGGAATTCCCTGCCCCTGAGCAGGCGCTGTGTAGCGCCTTTCCCAAGCAAGGTGCGCTTATAGGGCCCTGTTAAGCCGACCATACCTACCCAGACACCACCGCGCCCGCCCGCCCACAAATGGACGACCGTACCTGATGCTCGTATTGCTTCATTTGCGAAGTAAAATATGAAGCGAAGGGATTGATATGAAGCGGCCGCGGTGCTGCATGGATATATGAGTACATACATCAGCCGTACCTACCGTAGCGGTTATTGGCAAGATGCCTACGGAGAACTCGTCCGAAATTGCTTTAGGCGTCCAGCCCGCTTCGGCGAGATTGCGTGCGTTTTGGATGCTTCGGGACTGGAATTCCTCAAACGTTCTAATTGGAGAGGAGACAGAGGAACCTATATCGTCCTCT